ACACCACGCACGGCCAACATGGCCTCCCAACGACACGACCCAGTACCAGCAAGCACTTTGTGAGAAGCTAGACGCATTACTGACTGAGACACGACTACAACTACAATGTGACCAGATCGAACAGTCAATCAAAGATGTATCGTTGCAGCTGCAACTTCTGAGCACAACCCGCCACCGCATCAACCGCCCAACTAATGACAAACTAACGCAACTACCCCAACAGAGACGAGACGCACCGACCCATGACACAAGCACACGGAGCAGACTCAACAAACACATCCGACAAAACATCCGTTGCATCAAAGTGGCAGCTCGCAGGGCCACAGTCGAGCGTATCCTGTCAGAACTCAAAGATTTGAAGCGCATCAGCGGAGCTAAAAGTACCCCAAAACGAACATTCATCACGAGCATGATGGACAACCTCGGCGAAGCACAGCACGACCGACACACGATAGCCGACATACTCGCGACGTTTTACGATGAGTTGTACAACGACGCCGGCCGCAGAGACAACGCCAGCAACGACAGCCCTGAGCACGACGCACAACAGGACGCCATCCAACCGTTTACACGGGACGAGCTGGAGACAGCTCTGCACCAGCTGCGGTCAAACAGAGCTGCTGACATCTCCGGAATATCAGCCGAAATGTTACAATCTGGAGAGTATGCATTGCAGTCTGTCCTTCTCGACATGTGCAACAACGTCTTGCTTCCTGACCCACCGACGCCGAAGAGTTGGCGGCACACTGCATTCAAGGTGCTGCACAAAAGCGGAGACCCGCAGCAACCCCAAAAGTACAGACCAATTGCTAGTATACCCATGCTATACAAGCTCTTCTCGCGACTTCTATACAACCGGCTGCATCCACTATTAGACAGCCAGCAAAGCGTCGACCAGGCTGGCTTCCGCCCCCACCGCAGCACCACCGACCACTTATTCACGACGTCGCTGCTACAAGAAATTGCGGGTGAATGGTAACTCCCCATGTGGTCGGCGGCAGTGGACTTCAAGAAGGCATTCGACAGCATCACGCATGCCAGTATATGGGGGGTCGCTTGCGGAGCAACGTCCGCCCACACCATGCATCCACTTACTTTCGAACTCTACCAGGACCAGACAGGCTCAGTCCACACAGACCGCACAAGCAGACCATTCAACGTCCAGCGGGGAACACAGCAAGACGACCGATTCACTTCACTTCTTTTCAACACCATGTCAGAGAGCATCGTGAGACGAGCCAAACAGAAGTGGGCATCCGAGGGCTATGGCCTCAAGCTCCAACTACACGCGAATGAACGACTCACCAATCTCCGCTTCGCGGATGACAATCACCGAAGCACGCAAAGCAGGCCTAGATCTGCATCCTGAACAGATTAAGATCGTGCGCAATGGGCACAGGCCACCACGCAGCACACGCCCACCCGACAGCGTGCACGTGCTTGGCATGAAGATCGAGGTTTTACCGCCATACCGTGGCACGAGGTACTTAGGGCGGCTGCTACAGCACTCAGCGCACCACGCGACGGAAATCGAAAATCGCATTTCCACAGCATGGCGAAAGTTCACATGTTGAAGCAAGAGCTTACTGGACCAACTTATTCACAGTCAGATTGGCTTCGCCTCCTTCACGGAACCGTCACGTCGATTATTTTGTATGGTTGCGAAGCTTGGACTTTGACGACCGAATTAGCACGCCGACTCCAGCGAACACAACGAGAAATGCTTCGCATGATTGTGCGAATACCACGGTGCACCTCCACAAACGTGGCACAAGTATCACAACCACCACCCGAGCATCAGACTACTGACGAGTCCGACCTTAACCACCAGACCTCCGACGATGACGACGGGCGTGACTTCGACAGCATGCCGCCAGAGTCCGCGACGAGTATGCATAATGATGACGATGACGATGTGAACGCCACTGAATTGGAGCCGTGGGTTGATTGGATCAAGAGGGCCACATGCGCAGCTGAAGCAGCAATGCTACGACTGCAGATCAACGACTGGGTCTATACAGTGCAGCAAAGGAGATGGAAATGGGTACGGAAGTTGAGTACAGCAGGAGAGCACGAATGGATTTGGCAGGTAATTCTTTGGACGCCACACCATGAACCCGCATACCATGCGAGACAGAGGACGGGACGACCCAAAACCAGGTGGATCGATGGCATCAAAAAGCATGTCGAAGATACGATGGGGTGTGACGACATGGGTATCGCAGCTGTCCTCGATGCCGCGTCGACGGATTATTGGCAAGATATGGGGTTGCATTTTCGGTGGCACCTCTCCGACTCCAGCCCCTCTTTTGTTCCGACTCCGGCTCGCACCTCTCCGACTCCAGCCCCTTAGCCATTGTCATTTTCCCAGCTTTTTCCGACTCCGGCTCCGTTACCGTCTCCGACTCTTTCCGACTCCCGCTCTTACCGCTCCGACTCCGGCTGTTTCTGAATGGCCAACCCTGATCGGCGCCCCGGCGCCCACCCGCCGCACCCCTCGTAGGTGCCTCGGCGCGGGCTCTGCCTGCCTGCCGTGGTGGTGTTGCTGATGACGGCGACGACGATGACGATGGGGGTGCCGCCAGCGGCGGCGGCGACGATGAGGGCGATGATGACGATGAGGATGACGACGACGTCGCGGACGAGAACGAGGGGTCGAGGACGATGACGTGGCCGCTGACGAGGACAAGAATGATGGTGAACATGATGATGATGATGATGACGACGATGATGATGCTGCTGATGATGATCACGATGATGACGATGATCATGATGTTGTTGTTGATGATGATGCTGCTGCTGATGATGATGGTGATGAAGGAAACGAGGATGCTGATGCTGATGATGATGCTTACCAAGACAACGACGATGTCAAGGACGATAATGATGGTGGTGGTGGTGGTGGTGGTGATGATGATGATGATGATGATGATTGATGATGATGATGATGATGATGATGATGATGATGATGATGATGATGATGATGATGATGATGATTCTGATTATGATGAATTTCGTGATGATGATGCTTATGCTGTTGAGGATTATGATGCTGGTGATGATGATGATGATGATGGGGATGCTAATGATGATGTTGATGATAATCATGATGTTTCTGATGCTGCTGCTGATGATGCTGGGGACGACTGCGATGATGGTGATCATGATGTTGATGATGATGGTGATGATGGCTGTAGTGGTTGTTGTTTATGATGCTGATGATTCTGATGATGATGATGCTGATGATGAGGATTATGATGATTCTGATTATTATGATGATGATGATGATGATGATGATGATGATGATGATGATGATGATGATGATGATGATGATGATGATGATGATGATGATGATGATGTTGATGATGACGATGATGTTCAGGATCATGATGCTGACGTCGAATGATGCTGGTGATGGTAATGGTGGGGTGGATAATTGGGGAGGGAGGAGGAAGCAGGACACCTTCCTTTCTCCGGCCTCCTGCTGATCGAGTCATGTCGTCCGCTCGCCGCTGCCACAGGTGTCGCCGCCACCGTCGCCGTCGCCAGCGTGGTCGCCGTCGCCGTCTGTGCCGTCGCCGCTGTCGTCGTCGCCGTCGCCGTCGCCGTCGCCGCCGCCGCCGCCGCCGCCGTCGCCTCGCCGGCCGCGGCAGGCAGCGAACGGCAGCGCACGCCCGCCGCAACGGGGCGGCGAGGCGGACGTGCGCAGCGCCGCGGCGGTGCCATCCACAGCGGTCGCGGCGGCTGCGCCGCAGCGCTCGCTACGCCCTCCAGGCGCGCTTGGATCACCGAAGGGGCCCTGGCACTCGGCGCGATCGAAGTGGGGACGGACTGACTCGGTACGACGACCAGCAGCAGTTTCTGTGCATTTAAAATGGGGTTCGCTGTCGGAGCTGTCGCGGACGTTGCCCGTTTGAGACAAAAGGTCGCATGCCCAGCAGCGGCCGCTGTCAGTTTTGCAAAACACTTGCTGCAGGGTGTCGTTACCATTTTTCCGTGCTCGTTCGGGTGCGCCAAGAAAGACCCTTGTTGACAGCAGACCAGCGGACCTGGGTGAGATGTGTTTTTGAACCCCCTGGGTGGCCCATCGGCTTCGGCACCTCTCCCTCGCCTCCGATCCCTCCATCGATCCTCCACCCCCCCCGCCTCCGATCCCTTGATCCTCTCTTCTCGATCCTCCTCCTCTCCGTGTCTGTGTGTCTTTGTGTCTGCGTGTCTGTGTGTTTGTCTATCTGCGTGTCTGTGTGTCTCGTTGTGTCTGCGTGTCTGTGTGTCTCTGTGTCTCTGTGTCTCTGTGTCTCTGTGCCTCTGTGCCTCTGTGCCTCTGTGTCTCTGTTTCTCTGTTTCTCTGTGTCCCTGTGTTTATGTGTTTCTGTGTCTCTGTGTCTCTGTGTCTCTTTGTCTCTGTGTCTCTGTGTCTCTGTGCTCCTATGCTTCTGTGTCTCTGTGTCTCTGTGTCTCTGGGTCCCTGCGTCTCTGTGTCCCTGCGTCTCTGTGTCCGTATGTCTGTCTGCGTGTGTGTGTGTGTGTGTGTGTGTGTGTGTGTGTGTGTGCGTGCGCGTGCGCGTGCGCGTGCGCGTGCGCGTGCGCGTGCGCGTGCGCGCGTGTGTGTGTGCATATGTTTTTCCCAACCATCCTGTGGTGTTGGGTCCTCGTTTTGAAGAGACGGTGCCCCGCGTTCCTCCTCCTTCCTCCCGCTGCCCCCTCCCCCTCCTCCCTCCCCTTTGCCTCTGCCCTCCGCATGTCTCTGTTTCGGCACATCCCTCACGCGTTCCGTGGCCCCATAGGGAGCTCCACCGAAGGCCCCAGTGGCAGGGCCCGCATGGCGGCCCCGCATTTTGGCGCACCCCTCACACGGTTCGTGGCCCCATAGGGAGCTCCACCGAAGGCCCCAGTGGCAGGGTCCGCATGGCGGCCCCGCATTTTGGCGCACCCCTCACACGGTTCGTGGCCCCATAGGGAGCTCCACCGAAGGCCCCAGTGGCAGGGTCCGCATGGCGGCCCCGCATTTTGGCGCACCCCTCACACGGTTCGTGGCCCCATAGGGAGCTCCACCGAAGGCCCCAGTGGCAGGGTCCGCATGGCGGCCCCGCCCCATTTTGGCGCACCCCTCACACGGTTCGTGGCCCCATAGGGAGCTCCACCGAAGGCCCCAGTGGCAGGGTCCGCATGGCGGCCCCGCCCCATTTGGCGCACCCCTCACACGGTTCGTGGCCCCATAGGGAGCTCCACCGAAGGCCCCAGTGGCAGGGTCCGCATGGCGGCCCCGCATTGGGGCGCACCCCTCACACGGTTCGTGGCCCCATAGGGAGCTCCACCGAAGGCCCCAGTGGCAGGGTCCGCATGGCGGCCCCGCATTTTGGCGCACCCCTCACACGGTTCGTGGCCCCATAGGGAGCTCCACCGAAGGCCCCAGTGGCAGGGTCCGCATGGCGGCCCCGCATTTTGGCGCACCCCTCACACGGTTCGTGGCCCCATAGGGAGCTCCACCGAAGGCCCCAGTGGCAGGGTCCGCATGGCGGCCCCGCCCCATTTTGGCGCACCCCTCACACGGTTCGTGGCCCCATAGGGAGCTCCACCGAAGGCCCCAGTGGCAGGGTCCGCATGGCGGCCCGCCCCATTTTGGCGCACCCCTCACACGGCTCGTGGCCCCATAGGGAGCTCCACCGAAGGCCCAGTGGCAGGGTCCGCATGGCGGCCCCGCCCCATTTTGGCGCACCCCTCACACGGTTCGTGGCCCCATAAGGAGCTCCACCGAAGATGATGCCCACAATTGCGGTATTAACAATTGCTTATGGTTGGGTCTTTCGCCAGGCTAATTTTTGAGTGCGCGTGTGAGGGTGTGTGTGCGTGTGTGTGTGTGTGTGTGTGTGTGTGTGTGTGTGTGTGTGTTGTGTGTGCGTGTGTGTGCGCGCGCGTGCGCGTGCGCATGCGCGTGCGTGTGCGTGTGCGTGTGCGTGTGCGTGTGCTTGTGCGTAAGTGTGCGTGTGTGTATGTGTGTGTGTGTGCGTATTTGTTTGTGTTTATTTTTTTGTTTGTGTTTGTTTGTTTGTTTGTTTGTTTGTTTGTTTGTTTGTGTGTGTGTGTGTGCGTGTGTGTGTGTGTGTGTGTGTGTGTGTGTGTGTGTGTGTGTGTGCGTGCGTGTGCGTGTGTGCGTATGCGTGTGTTTGCGTGTGTGCGTGTGTGTGTGTGTTTGTGCGTGCGTGCGTGCGTGCGTGCGTGCGTGCGCGCGTGTGTGTGTGTGTGTGTGTATATGTGTGCGCGCGTGTGCGTGCGCGTGTGCGTGTGCGTATGCGTGTGTGCGTATGCGTATGTTCGCGTGTGTGTGTGTGTGTGTGTGTGTGTGTGTGTGTGTGTGTGTGTGTGTGTGCGCGCGTCTGCGTGTGTTTGTGTGTGTGTGTGTGTTCGTGCGTGCGTGCGTATGCGTGCGTGCGTGCGTGCGTGCGTACGTTCGTGTGTGCAGTCTTTCTTGTATTACACATGATCGACCCACGAACCGGGAAATTAATCCAGAAATGTAAGGCATGGCAACGTTTCAATGACATTTGATCGGGCGACGGGCAAATGCAATGCTGAATGTATCGATCTTGATGTACTGTGCCGAGGGCTGTGCTGTGCTACGCCGTGCTGAACTGCGATGTGCCATGCCGCGATCGTGCTCCATATAGCGTTGTGGATCGAGTCCTCCCTGGCATTCGAGTTCTGACCGAACTGGTCTGGATCTTAAGCTCGAGCTGCCTGAGCAGATGGTAGCTGCCCCAGAACTAATCGACAGAGGGGACATGCCAGGAGGACGCGCCGCGGAACGTCCCAAGGGACGCGCCAGGCGACGTGCCAGGGGACGTGCCATGGGCACGTACCGCGGGACGTGCCGAGGGGACGCGCTACGGAACGTGCCAATGGACGTGCCGCGGGACGTGCCAGGGGACGCGCCGCGCGAAGTGCCAGGTGGACTCGCCACGGAACGCGCCAAGGAACGTGCCAAGGTGTAATATTGAGTGTATCGATCTTGGTGTACCATGCCGATGGCTGTGCTGTGCTGGGCCGTGCTGAACTGCGATGTGCCATGCCGCGATCGTGCTCTATATAGCGTTGTGGATCGAGTCCTCTTTGCATCCGAGTCCTGACCGAACTGATCTGGATCTTAAGCTCGAGCTGCCTGAGCAGATGGTAGCTGTCCCAGAACTAATCGACAGGGGGACATGCCAGGAGGACGCGCCGCGGAACGTCCCAGGGGACGCGCCAGGCGACGTGCCATGGGGACGTGCCATGGGCACGTACCGCGGGACGTGCCAAGGGGACGCGCTACAGAACGTGCCAATGGACGTGCACCGCGCGATGTGCCAGGGGGACTCGCCACAGTACGCTCCGCGGAACGTGCCAGGCAACATGCCAGGCTGAAATGCTAAAGGTATCGATATTGATGCACCGTGCCGAGGGCTGTGCTGTGCCTGGGCGACCTGGACACGTGAAAACACGCGTTTCGCTCAAGACGTTGTCAGCACATCTTCATGCTAGACATCCGCCTGGGCAACCTGGACACGTCAAAACAAGCGTCTCGATCGAGACTTCCTCGACACATCCTCATGCTAGACATCCACCTGGGCGACCTGGACACGTGAAAACAAGCCTCTGGTTCGAGACATCCTCAACAAATCCTCATGCTAGACATCTGTCTGGGCAACCTGGAGGCGTGAAACCAAGCGTCTCGCTCGAGACATCCTCAAGACCTGGGCACGTGAAAACAAGCATTTCACTTGAGAGATCCTCAGAATTCAGGTCCCCAGGAGAGGACAACCTATAACACAAAACAAGCGTTTCGCTCGAGACATCCTCAACAATTTCTGACAACAAGCGTTTCGCTCGAGACATCCTCAAATTCTAATTCGCCGGCCCACCTCGACCTCGATATTTATCGCAAAAGAAATTCGCCGGCCCACCTCAAGTCAAATCCGGGGGTAAACCATCTAAAAGAGAACCTTGGGCCCATGCCCTTTCTGGGAACATTTGCAGGAACAAATAAACAAGTGTGTGTATATATATATATATATATGACACCGGAGAAAAACCCCAATCAGATGTTTGTTGGGGCTATGGGGCTGTAGGGCTAGAAAGCTATAAGGTTATGAGGCTATAGGGCTATAGGGCGATTGGGCTATTGGGCGATTGGGCTATAAGGCTATAGGGCTATAAGGCTGTGGAGCTATAGGGCTATAGGGCTATAAGGCTATGGGGCTATCGGGCTATAGGGCTATAGGGCTATTGGGCTATAGGGCTATAGGGCTATGGGGCTGTAAAACTATAGGGCTATAGGGCTATTGGGCTATTAGGCTATTGGGCTATATGCTATTGGGCTATTGGGCACCCCGGGCACCCGGGCACCCGGGCACCCGGGCCCGGCCACCGAAATCGGCCACGCACCTCACCGGCCACCCAGGCACCCGGGCACCGCCGGGCACCCGGGCACCCGGGCACCCGGGCCCGGCCACCGAAATCGGCCGCACCTTCCACCTAATCTTTTAATCCGCTAGGACCCCTACAGAGGCAAGCTCTGATTGGGGATATATATATATATATTATATATATATATATTATACGTGTGCACACATATATATATATATATATATATATATATATATATATATATATAATGAAAGAAAAACACGCGTTGCACGCAGCCAAGTTGTGCGTGCATCAGCCACCAGGGTGTGCACACATATGTATATATAATGAATAAATATATAATGAATAAATATGAAAGAAAAACACGCGTTGCACGCAGCCAAGTTGTGCGTGCATCAGCCACCAGGGCCGCGCCGACCAGGCCCCTCGGCCCGATCGGACCGCGCCACCATGCAACGTAAGGGCCGCCAGGGCCAGACAGGCCGCAGCAGCGGCGCGGCGGATAGCGAAAGCTATCGGAAGACACGCGGAGCGTGACGGATCTATGCAATCACGAGAAGCGCGGAGATATGCTGCGCGGCGTGAGGGTAAGAACAAGAGAGACCACACACACAGGCGTAACAGAAAGACCGTCACGCAGGAGCAGGCTGCCCACGCGAAGCGTGACGGAGAACAACATATGCAACAGAAGATCGCTCGGTCGGGACTGAAGACCGTGCGCTGCAATCAATCACACGAGAAACACCCATATGATAAACGTTCAAGGCACAAGCCACGGCGCAGGCAACTCCAACCGGAGGCGCCCGTCGCAGAGAACACCGTGGTTCAACCCTCACTGAACAATTTCCTGGTCTGTAGATGCTTGCCATTCAGGATCAGGTCTTGCCTCTGCTTGCGAACCCACCCAACATTGTCACCTTTGATGGGACGCCCGACACAGTCCTGCCCAAGCTCCCGTAGCTGCCCTTATCGCTCCGGCACCCAGTAGCAGCACCTCGTGCAAATACGATACCCTTATACACTTCGAATGTCGTAGCCTTGCGGCCCAGCCGAGGCTGCTGCTGCCTCCGCTGATGGCCGGCCTCCGCTGCTCGACGACGCCTCCGCTGCAACTCCAGCGGGGCGACTCCCACTGCCCGCAGCCGCGTAGTTGCTCTCCTCGCCTTCGTCGTCGTCGGCCTGTGATGTCGAAGATGCTGTGGCGGCGGCTGTCGCCAGGACAACGGCGGCTCCAATGCCCAATCCTGCCGCTTCAGCTGGCCTCTTGACACCTGACGTCGGTCTCTACGCACGGCCTGCTGAACAGCGCTCGCTTGGACCCCTTGGTCGCAGCGTATCGCCCACACCTGGCACACCACCAGCAGTCGGCTTTGACCTTGAAGTCATGCCCCGTCAGACTGACGATGTCCTTCGGGGGCTTCTTGATCACCACGTCCATGTCGATGTCTCGCGCAGCAGCTGCAGGAGCACCAGCACACGACACCCACGTGGCAACTCCATCGATCATCAGGTGGGAACGTCGAATGCGCTCACGATCGGGATCGGCCACTGCATACGGTTTCGTGACCGTCTTCGCCCAATCATCGGCCTCAAGATTCCCTCTCCTCTCGCATCTCGTGAGTTTGCCTTGTTCGACGTCACGAGTAGTCCCATGACCTTTGACTTTGCTGACTGTGAGGCCTCCATCGCCCAGTCCACCAAAATCCTCAGTAGCATCCCAAACAAGCCTCCATAGAAAGGCCCAGGACTGGTTACTAGCACACGTAGCAGCACGCCCACGCCTTGGAAGCCCGTCTACTACACAGCTTGCAGCGACCCGCACCGTGACTGGCGCCAAGCTGTGTCGAAAAAGAATTACGATGGCCACCAACTTTGCTGCCTCGATGCACAGGTGCAGCCCCATGAGCGGCGAGCCGACGACGTGCAGCGTCGCAACGCGGGTCTGGATCGTACCAGTCGGGCCCGAGCGGGATCTGCACGACTGCGCACCCAGCCATGCTGTAGTCCGTGCGTGTGTGCGTGTGTGAGAGAGGGAGAGAGTGTGTGTGTGTAAGTGTGTGTGTGTGTGTGAGATTGTGTGTGTGTGTGCGTGTGTGTCTGTATGCGTGGGTGCGTGCGTACGTGCATGCGTACACACGCGCGCACACACGCACACACACACACACACACGCACGCGCACACGCACACGCACGCGCACAAGCAAACGTACACGCACGCGCACACGCACAGGCACACGCACGCGCACTCGCACACGCGCGCGCACACGCACACACACTCTCTTAAGTCTGCGGCGCAGAGGAAACTCAGGCGCGGTCGACAGATGCAGGTGCCCATCGCGAGCGAACTTAGTCGAACGTGCCGTGATGAAGTAATGCAACCACGACCCTGCAGATTGGTGGTGGTGTTGGTGGTTGATGACAATATGAGGCACTGTAAGGCCAACGTGTAGCGGCCAAGCAACCCGCGGCACGTTGCTCGACGCCAGGAGTTGAAGCGCGGGCAGCAGTCTGGTGCTAATTAGCCAGTGTAAAGGAAAACATTGTAGGGCTGCCAGACCAGCCAGCAAGCTGCGACGCGAGACAGGCGCGAGCGAGACAGGCGCCACCGCCATTCAAGCAACACACACGACAGAACGCCGTGCAGGTACAAGTAGGGTAAAGAAACGCGCGCGCTCGAGGCATAAACCCAAAACAAAAGGCAAAACTGACCGCTGGCGATCGCGACAGCAAACGCTTCACGCGATGGCGCACATGGGTGGTGGACAGCACAGACAAATCCAGGAGTGTTGGACGGCGCGCGTGGCCAACGTGCAATGCGGACGCCACTGTTGAGGACAAACCCACCGCAGCCAACGTCGTTGCATCAACCATGGATGGGTGCCAAAACGAACATGATAGACCCACGACCCCGGAACGGGATCTAGAACTGCATGCATGGAAACGTTTTCACGACACCGTATTGGGCGACGGGCATTTCCACGAGACACCCCGCGAAAAACCTTCCACGAGACACGGGCGACCGTTTTCAACGTTTTCCTGGAAACATTCCACGAGACATCCCGCGAAACAGTCCACGAGACACCCCACGAAACATTCCACGACGACAGGCAACCACTCAACCAAGGCGGTGTGGTCGTGCTGGGGAGTGGTCGTGCTGGGGTGTGGTCGTGTTGGGGGGTGGTCGTGCTGGGGGTTGGTCGTGCTGCTGGGGTAGTCGTGCTGGGGGGTGGTCGTGCTGGGGCGTGGTCGTGCTGGGGCGTGGTCGTGCTGGGGCGTGGTCGTGCTGGGGTGTGGTCGTGCTGTGGTGAGGTCGTGCTGTGGTGTGGTCGTGTTGGGTGATGGTCTTGCTGGGGTGGGGTCGTGCTGGGGTGGGGTAATGCTGGGGTGTGGCCGTGCTGGGGTTTGGTCGTGCTGGGGTGGGGTCGTGCTGGGGTGGGGTCGTGCTGGGGTGTGGTCGTGCTGGGGTGTGGTCGTGCTGGGGGGTGGTCGTGGAAACGCATATAGAACCGCATGCATGGAAACGTTTTCACGACACCGTATTGGGCGACGGCACTTGCAATGCTGAAGGTGTCGATGGCGATGTGCTGTGCCAGGGGCTGCCCTGTGCCGTGCTGTGCTGACTTGGAATTTGCCATGCTGCGCTGAACTGTGCTGTGCTCAATTGCGTTGTGGATCAACTCGCCCGTGACCTCCGATTTGGATCTTAGGCGCCCGAGCTGTCTGAACGCATAACTCGCCCTTGAGCTGGTCGCAATCGAAACGTGCGGGGCTCTCAACCAGCTCGAGTTCAAGATCCGATTCAGTTCCGAAGCGGGGCGGAGCAAGAGGGGGCGAACCCGAACCGCTACTGAATGAAAATCGGTTGGCTACCCGAACCCGAACCGCCACCTCGAACGCCCGCGCGGGTGTCGCCGCCGCGTCGAATCGACCCGAATCTGCCGTACCCGGGAATCCACTCAAAACGAGTCCCCGGACCCGTCCCGGAGTCCAAAAGCACCAGTTTCCTGCGCTGCGTCAAAAGGAGAGAGTATCTAGCCAATTCATGACCGGGTGACGTGGGCGCACGGTGCGATATGTGCATCGCGCCCCATAAGGCAAATTTGTAGGCACATACGTAAAAACACACGGATTCGCGCCCCTGGAGAAATCAAATCCATACGCACATACGTAAAAGCACATGGATTCGTGCACGTGGAAAGGGCAAATCTACAGGCACATACGTAAAAACACACGGGTTCGTGCACCTGGAGAAGGCAAATCTCTAAGGCCCCCAGATCCCTCAAGTTTTACAAAACAAGCGATTCGCTCGAGACATCCTCGGTAACTCTGCGGAGCAAGTGTTTCGCTCGAGATATCTTCAACACACGAAAGAGTGGCCCGCACCCTGTGATCTATCGATCGGGACTTCAAAAACAAGCGTTTCGCTTGAGACATCCTCGAATTTTAATCCGCCAGCCCACCTCGACCGATGTATATTAGGGAAAGAATCCGCTGGCCCACCTCAGTTGAGGCACCGGGGACAGATTACCATCCTAAAAGAGAACCCTGGGCCTACGCCCTTTCCGGGAAAAAGCAATCACCTGGACGATGCTGTACCTGTACGGGTCACCTCAAGGTCGCACCATTCCGACCAGAGACAATCAGGTGGAGACGTTTCGTCGGATGCAGGGCAAGTTCTGTCAACATGAGGCTATCCCTGGGTTTCTTTGGAGGACTCTCGCGAGATTTTCCGCGGCGCATGCGTCCACGATTTTGACATCTTGCAACGCTTAGATGGATGGAGGGCGTGTGCTTCTCAAGAGGGGGTTACCTTGGGCGTCCTTCTAGTGGAGGGAAAACCCTTCACAACAGGCTTCCCCGTTTGACCAGCGGACCGACCAACCGCTCGTCATTCAAATGGGGGCAGTTCTGTATGGCTCATGAGGAGGGGACTTGAGGACGGGAGGGTATATGGCAGCATCGGTTGATGTATTTCGGGTTTAGTCAGGTCCTCCATCCTCTTCCTCCTTCTCCACCTTCTCCTCCACCTCCTCATCCTCCTCTTTTTTTTTTTTTTTCTCTCTCTCTCTCTCTCTCCTGCTCCCTCGATCCTCCTCCCCGCTCCCCCCCCCCTTCCTCCCTGGCCTCCTCGAGCGCCCCGAGGCGCGCTAGCCGGCGCGGCGGAGACGCGCCCCCGCGGCCTCGACCTACTGCTGACGAACAGGGGGATGGTCGGCGGGGGCGTCTGGAGGATGCCCTTCTCCTTCCTCCTTCCTCCTTCCTCCTCCTCCTGCTCCTCCTCCTCCTCCTCCTCCTCCTCTTCCTCCTTTTTGAAGTTGCCCAGACGTGAAGCGCAAGCTTGTCGCGTTCTAATGTAGGGAACGACCGCCGATTTAGCAGAGCAAAAAACAAGCCAACCTGGCGGGCGCAGGGGACCAGGTAGTGCGACAACATCAGAAAATATCGAGGGCCTTAGAGTATGCGCCCGCCAGGCGGTAAGACAGCAGCTACGCCTGGTTACCTTGGTATCCCTCCCACCGTCACATGATAATCGTCCCACGTTCCCCCTAGGTTTGTCTAGGCAAGCGGTGCCAAGGTAAAATAATTCGAGGGCGTTACTAAAAAGAAGATAAGAAAAGACAGGCGACGCAAGGAGAGTATGTGCGAGAAGAGGGAGCGTACATAAGCTGAGTTTCAGTGTGTTAGGGCTGGCGCAGTCTGTGCTGGCTGGCCTTGTAGGGGGTAAGAGATCGCAATTCTTGGGCTGCTGCCCGTGTTGTTCTGGTTCCTCGGGGGGTGGCCCGTCCACCGTTCCAGTTCCTACGGGGGTGTGCCCCCGTCACTGTGGCCACCGGTGTGGCTCTTTTCCCCCCCTTGAAAAGGTAGAGACCTGCAACTGTACCGCCGGGGTAAGCACGTGTGGGGAGGGAGGATGAGGCACTAAAGATCGGTGGAGAAGGACGAGTGCAGAAATACCAGCAAGGACAGCGTGAAGAATAGCTGGCACCGGAAAAGGCTGGCTTGAGTTTTTGGCGAGTTGGCTGCGTCTTCTGCTAGGTTCACGCCTGTACGTATATAATAGTGGGGACACTCCCTGTCATCCAGGGGTTCCCGAAATGAGGAGTGAGCTCTGAACATCCTTCGCACCTCCTCCCACCTTGCCAACGGTTACCCTTGCATCCTTCCCCTTCGGCCCATCCCTGGCCGCTTTCGCTGGCCGCGCCCCGCTCGCAACGTGTCGACATGGCCCTCCAGGGCCCCTGCATCCTCATCGTGCGCCCTTACTGTGCGCGTGCACCGTGCCCACCGCCCGCGGCATTCTTCCGCGTCCGAGTGCCCTCCGCCTCCTCCTGCCTTCTGCGGCCGCCCCTCTGCCCTGCTCCCCCTCCTGCACGCCGTCGAGCTCGTGCAGCGGTTGCCCCGCAGCGCTGCTCGCTGGTGCAGCTCTGCCTCGCCGCTGCCGTAGGAGTGTCCACCGCCCGCCGGGGTCCCGGGAGGCCGGCTCCCCTGGCGGTGGATCTGCACATCCCCGCCCCGCAGCGAGGGCCGCGAGCCCCGAGCAGCGCCCCCCCCCCCGTCGCAGGTCGCCGACCTGGCGCCCGAGGCCCCCGACGCCCCGGTTCCCCCGCCGGGAGGGCGGCCGGCCACGGGCCCACCCCCGCCGCCGCTCGGGAGGATCGAGGCGGTCAGTGGTCGGGGGGCAGCACTCGCAGAGGGGGGGGGGAAGTTTCGGGCACGAGGCTTTTGGGCGCCTTCGTGCAGCCTCGGGGGCCCTCTGGCCCTCGGGAGGTGGCTGGGTCGTCCCGAACGGCCGCCAGGGACCCGAGTTGAGGCCGCGGCGTTGGGAGGGGACGGGCTCCGGGGGGGGAGGCGTCCACCCCACCGCCTGTTGATCACCGCTAGGGGTCCGATGGCCCACCCCGCCCAGGCACGCGGGGTTGTGCTCTCCCGCGGCACCCGCTTAGTTCTCGGGGATGCATCGGCGCTCCCCTGAACCCGCCCCCCTCTAACGTGGATCCTCAGATGGGATCGGGAAAGATGGGACGAAAACCAACGGTAGTTGCTTCCAGTTGTTCGTCGGTTCCCAGTTGTTTTTGCCGCCTCGGGACGCTTTCCAGCAGCTGCGCCTCTCCGAGAGCGTTCTGGTTGGGGGTGCCCGAATCTTCCCGAGCGGCCGCCAGAGGCCCGAGTGATGGCCCGAAAGCCACCAGGGACCCCAACCTCCAGATCATTGAACGAAACACAATGTGGAGTTTTGTCGCTATTTTCGGAATTCAGGGTTGTCGCTGGGTCTTGGGACCGTCAAGAACGAGGCTAGAAAGCGGCCCCCTTGTAAAGGGTCTGGATTTCTGGGACCCCCCGGTATGAGAAAAATGAGGTCTTCAGATCTCTGGTATTCTGTCCATTTTAGCAGCATTCGCTGTCCGTGTCGCCACGGACGTTGTCCATTTGGGGCGAGCGTTGATTGCCCAACCGGCCGCTGTTGGTTCTGGACAGCATTTTATGCTGCGGGGCGTCGTCTCTGCTCTTGCTGTACTTGCTTCGGGCGTGCCAAGTCGCCACCGCCACCGCTTTGGGAGAGGGAGGAGGAGGGGATTTGCGTCGTTGTCGTCGTCGTCGTCGTCGTCGTCGTCGTCGTCGTCGTCGTCGTCTTGATCGTCCTCCCTCCTCCCTCCTCCCTCTCCTCTCTCCTCCTTCCGCCCCGCGAGCGCGGGTGAGGAGGAGGACGAACAGGATGATGATGGTGGTGATGATGATTCTTATCATGACATTGCTTATCATGATTATGATGGCGATGACGATGCTGCCGATGATGATGATGACGATGATGACGATGATGATGATGATGATGATGATGATGATGATCATGGTCGTGATGATGGTGGTGGCGAATTAAGATGATGCTGATGCTGGTGCTGATGATGATCCTGAGGATTTAGATTAAACATATGATGACGATTCTGATGATATTGCTGCTGCTGATGATGATGACGACGATAATGATGATGAGGAGGATGAGGAGGTGGACGATGATGACGATGATGATGCTGATGATGATGCTGATGATATCGATGACGATGACGATGATGATGATGATGCCGATGATGATGCTGCCGATGATGATGCTGATGATGATGGTGATGATCATGACCATGATGATAATGATGACGATGATGATGATGATGATGATGATGCTGATGACACTGATGACACTGATGACGACACTGATGCTGATTCTGCTGATGATGCTGATGCTGATTCTGATGATGATGCTGATGGTGGTGGTGGTGGTGGTGATACTGATGATGATGACGACGCGGATGATGACGATGACGCTGACGGTGATGCTGACGATGATGATGATGATGATGATGATGATGATGATGATGATGATGATGATGATGATGATGATGATGATGACGAGGATGATGATGATGATGATGATGATGATGATGATGATGATGATGATGATGATGACGATGATGAATATCATTCTCATTATGGGAATGATGGTGATGCTTATGATGCTGACGATGCTGGTGATGATAATGATGATGATTCTGATAATGCTGATATTGATCATGTTGATGATGAAAATGCTGATGATGATAATGCTGCTGCTGCTGATATGGATGATGATGATGATGCTGGTGATGGTGATGCTGATGATGACGATGATGATGACGATGATGGTAGCGACGAGGACTTGTATGAAACATGCGATGACCATGATGATACAGATATTGTCTCTACTGCTGCCGCTGCCGCTGATGACGACGATGATGATGACGATGATGATGATGAGGATGAAAAGGATGAGACGGACCATGATGCTGATGATATGCTGATGATGATGCTGATGAAGATGATGATGCTGATGCTGATGATGAGGATGGTGATGATGATGATGATGATGATGATGATGCTGATGACAATGGTGACTCTGATTGTGGTGATGATTCTGATGATGATGCTGCTGCTGATGATGAGGCTGACGATGATGATGACGATGACGATGACGATGACGATGCTGATTGTGCTGATGATGACGACGTGGATGATGTTGATGATGATAATGCTGATGATGATGCTGATATCGATGATGATCATGATGCAACTGATGATGAGGACGTTGATGCTGATGATGATGCTGATGCTGCTGATGATAATGCTGACGATGATGACGACGACGACGACCATGATGATGGTGATGATGACGATGATGATGATGATGATGATGATGATGATGATGAGGTCGATGATGATGACGATGATGCTATTGATGATGATCAATATTGATGATGACGATGAAGAGGATGAGGATGATGAAGAGGATAGAGAGGTTGATGATGCGGATGACGACGATGATGATGATGATGATGATGATGATGATGCTGATGTGGATGAGGATGATGACTTGGATGATGATGATACTGATGATGACGCTGATCATGCGGATGTTTATGATGATCATGCTGATGATGATGATGATGATGATGCTGATGATGGGGATGATTGTGCTGATGCTGATGCTGCTGCTGACGATGCTGCTGATGATGATGATGATGATGATGATGATGACGATGATGATGATGATGATGATGATGATGATGATGATGATGATGATGATGAGGTTGTTGTTGTTGTTGTTGTTGTTGTTGATGGTGATCACGATGATGCTGATGATGATGATGATGATGATGATGATGATGATGATGATGATGATGATGATGATGATGATTATGAAGAAGCTGATGATGATGAGGAGGAGGAGGAGGAGGACGAGGATGAGGATTTTGCACCGAGCTGAGCTCAAGGGGGAGGGGGGAGGGGAGGAGGAAGATGGGCCACCCCGCCCTGTCCCTCGCGAGCCTTCTTGTTGAAGGCCTTCGCGCTGGCCGAGGCGCCTGGGAGAAGGCCTCGCTGCAGCTTCCGAAAATTGTCTTCCCCTTTTGAAGAAATCCGATTCTTGCACCCTTGGGCGAGGCCTTGGATGGCTCTGTCCATCCCAATAGCCCCACAACTGTTGCACGCCCACCCGTCAGCGTGCTCGAAAAACTGGCACGTGTGTGAGCTGTGCACCGTCTGATTGCCGATTCGAATAGGACCCTGGGAGGAAGCGGAGGGGGCAGCAGCGGAATCGATCGGGGTGCAGGGGGTTGCAAGCCATTCAATAACCCCTTCCTTGGAGGGCTTATGACGACACAACCTGCAACTTAACCGAGATTCCAAAAACTGGAGGCCGTCCTTATGGGGGGAAGCCTGGACGGCCTTCTCGAGCTTGCTAAGGCCAGCCTTCCGAATGCCACCGAGAGGCCTGGCCCTCTCTCTCTGGGCACGGCTGTCGTGAGACGCAGACGCACTGAGAGTGGCAGCGAGACGGATTCTGACCTGCTCAGCAAGTGAATCGATGGCCATCACCTTCTGGGCCACCTCGGGATCGACCTGACACTGGCCCGCTTCCCACGAAGCGACCCGATCGGCCTCCATATTGGCGAGGCGAAATGATTCAGGGAGACCACTCGCGCGGAACCTTTCCGCATTGACATGGCTCTCAACTTTACAAATATGAATTAGACCTCGTCTGGACTCGGCCACCTGGGACAAGGAAAACCACACATCGAGATTCGACTTGGGCCGACCGCCAGCCAGGATTTTAAACCAACCTCGGACCACATAGGCCGAATCGCACAAATAGGTTAAATCCCTCGAAAACTGCTGCAAACAATCCAGGACAGCCCAGAGCTCGGCTCTGTTACTGCTCTGTCTGCGGCCGGCGAGGGGGGCACTCCGACGGCGCAATGTCTCAACGTCCACTCTCCTCGGGTTGAGCTCCACCCACGCCCAGGCACATCGCCTCAGCCTTGGGTCCTTAGCATTCCCACCACCCGACCCGTCCCCCGCGACGAGGCGACCCACAATCTCAGCTGGGGTTCGCTACCTCCGAGGGCCGCACCACCGCTAGCTTCACAAGGTGGGTAACTGACTTCGTGCAGCTCAACTGCATCAGGGGGGTCAGGGATGGACACGAGGGTGGACGGAATCATGCCACGGAGCCAAAAACAAACGTTTGAATTCTGATCAAGAGCTGTCTCAGAAGTCGACAACGTCGTCCATATCTTGACACTCTGGGATGTCGGCATTACAAGGGCATTGCCAGACTCTATGCCTGAGACTTTCTGGAGCCATGCCGCACCTTGGACAAGTAGCGTCAAAGTCTTGCACAACACAACACTCTGCAATGCGCTGCCTGGGCCACATGCCCGCAGCTGCAGCACACTCGACGGCCGCCCGACGTTCATACTCCTGGGCTTTGTCAAGCGCAGCTAACTGTTGACGTGGCCCGAAAAGATCGACACCCTCCTCCATGCCACCTCCCAGGTGCTGGGTGGACGCGCCTGCCCACAGCTTCCTCTCCACGGTCTTGTGGACGGCAGCCAGCAGGTCGGAGGGGTCGAAAGAAGCAAGAAAAGCGCGGAGAGAGACGAGGTCTTGGACGGGGGCCTCCCAGCGCTCATCAAGTGGACCACGCCACTCGAGGAGCCCAGGAGTGTCCCACCCAAGAGACAAAAGGGTGGTGATGATGGCAGAGATTGGGCCTCGGATTCGGAACCACCC